TGGTTTTCTTTTAAAAATTATTTTACGATATTTTGTTGACCTATACCATTACTTCTACAAATGTATCATTGTCACTACTATTACGTAGTTTTATTGACTTTAAATTAATAAAATATTCTAATATTACTTCGTACAACAATAATATGTCATATTATATACATATTTAATATAGGTATAGCACCCAATAATAAATAATCAGGTGTTTTACTTAGATGTGAAATGTATGTAAATTTGAACATAATACATCGAATTCGATTAGGCAATATACACATTTTACAATTCATTTCAAACGCATACATTATATTCTGTATTTTAGGTACCGGGTACAAGCATAGAAAATATATAGGAACTCGTGTGTTTGTAGACAGTGAACATTTTTGATGCGATATTATTATTTACTCTCAACAGAATACACTCGTTTTATGTAATGAACTTCCTACGTAGTGTTTCCTTTAAATGAATGCACACACAGATTTATGGTTTTATTGTTATTTATGATTCGTACGAGTGAACTTACACTTTATTCCATTATTTATCAAAACAAAAAAATAGTAATTGCACGAAGCATCATAATCCTTTATTGAATAGGGTCTTATGAGATATTTCAACATTATTTTGTCTACTATCTTCTACATATAAAGATGTGAACAATGTGATAAATCAGATGAATATAATTTAAATAAAACATCATAAAATGAATCTTTTTTTACATTATTCATTGTATAAATTGAGGGTAAATCGAGGGTAAAAACTAATAGATTTCACAAGAACACGAATACTAAAGAATATTGACTAGGTAGTTATAAACAATATAAACGCAATACTGCAGCACCACTGTATTTAATAGAAAATCCATAAAAAAAATAATTATAATCAGTTCTTAGTTCCATAATTAAATGATTACTCTAATAATAAAAATAGCCAACTAGAAGGATTATAATAATTTGAACATAACATCCTGTGAATTATGTTAACTGTATTAACTTAAGTTAAGTTTAAATCTATCCGAATTTAATAAAAGCGTGAATAGACTCACAATTCTTTAAATAGAAAATTATAAAGGTTTGTATTTTGTTCATTATAAATAATTTAATGAAATGTATACTGTAGTACGTGATTACAACTTACAGTATGCGTTTAATATTTATATCTAAATGCACCACCGTATTATATTATAAATATGGAACCATAATTGTGTCAGCTAATAAAGTCACACAATTAAACAAATGAATGCGAATAATTTCTTGAGATAAAAAACTACTTTTCATAGTTCAATACACTTAATACTCAGAGAAAATAATTTATAGTAAGAATTTGTATTTACTAGTTACACTATGGTACTTATCTCTTAATTGTTTTAATCTATTTACTCCACTCAATTTGTTTTAACTTGCCTATTATTATTATTATTATTTATAGATATCAGATAATTAAACTTATGTACTTCAATTTAATTTACTTATGAGAGTTGAATTTTATGCAAGATTATTTTGGAAACCTAAGTGTATAATATATTTCAGTATAACTAGATCACTTATAAAAGATAGAATTAACATCTATGAAAATAGTCATACAATATTTATTTGAAATTATTTAATATATAAATGTATAATATACATATAATATACATGCATAACTGAAATACGTGGTACGTGGATAGAATAAACAATATAAACAAAATATTTAAAAATGATAATTGACATATTCCTAAGAGTTGTTAAATATCAAACTGTCATATTATGCACTGAGTAGGTATACCTCAATAATCTATATAGTATATTATATTATCCAATCGAATAGTAATAAATACAATTATGAGAATTCTAAAATGTATTTGCTGAAACTGAATAGGTATCTCATTATGTGTTTGCTTTTAATCTTTGAAAAGTTATTTTACCGAATACGTAAAGCGGAAAATTTAAATATTACAATGGGATTTGTATGTAGCCAATCATTGCAAGGTCTACGATTTAATTAAAATTATAATATTAGATTACATATAATGCACATTTTACCGGACATTTAAATTCTCAGGTAAATTGTACGTTAATTTACCGATGCCCGATGGTAAACATTTTTTTTCTTGCCTAATAAATATTAATTTATACTATTATATATATTTTTTCTTTTGAATAAGATATTTATAAAATACATAAAAATGTTTATTTATAATAATATTTAAAAATTAATAGAATATTATACTTGTATATTATTTATATTATGCTTATAAGAACTGTGCAGATTTATGAAAAGTTAATTAATTGCTCGCACATTATTTTTGTGAACACGTACGCGAAGAGGAAGTAAAGACAATTTCAATCAACTACACAAACTACAGCAGAACAGGCAGCAATACACATTGTATTTGAAAATTTGAGATCGTGTTATAAGAGTTAAGACTGTTGTAACAATTTGATACAAACAGTACTGGTATAAGCTATAAACGAAAATAGTAAAAAATATATTAAAGAGAATATTTGAAATCTTATACGCTATAATCTAAACACATCCTATATTACTAACATTAAATCAATACGAACCGACAATGAAGACTTAAGTCTTGAATTTAAATCCATTGATACTGGTGGACACTCTAATACTATGTGCCCATGCTATGTTTGATGAGCAATGACTATTATTATTATAACCCTCGTGGCTCATAAATTCTTAACAAAAAGCGACAAAAAGAACAATTTAAAGATGTTTACTAGAAAACAGCAGAGGCCCCGATTGCTCAAACTTATTTCAATATCTGCCCGTATAGTAGGATATTTATAGTTAGTAGAACTCGTTTGAGTACATTAAAATAATCAATGCACTTGGGCTTATTTGTGTAGTCTGTGAAAATCGTTTGTAAAGCAAGGTCAGCATGAAGGCCGTTATTTCATATATATTCGACACTTGTACGACGCAAACGTTGCATGCAAATATAATGTTATGGTTGACTTTAAAAATCCAAATTTCTGATTTTTTAAACGATTGATTTGAGTATTCGGCGTACGAGTTAAGAAGTTATTAAGTTTGTGCAAAGTTGTGAATAAATCCAATTGAATTGAAAACGAAAATTACTTATACGTATAACTATAGTGGTAAGTACGCATATTTAAACGCGGGGTAATAAATATATCGGAAATATGCCGAAGTCTTAACAAAATGCGTCGAGAACTATACAAAGACGATAGCCAATGATGATTCAAATATAGAACAAACAAATAGATGAATGTCAAACAACTTCAAAGATTTATTATGTGCATGAGATCAGAGTAAAATATTTAAAAAGCACCGCGGAAGATCATTTAAAGCAGTAAAATAAGTAGAAACCTGAATCAATAAAATTATACCGATATTATAAATGTGCACCAGACAAGTTTTGTCTATGTTTCAATGTTATTTTATTCTAGTGGGCATTTTAAATTTGTATGAAAACAATTTAGTTTCGGACAAACGAGTCGTTAATTAGGCTAATGTATACAAATGATTACATGAACCACAATTCATTATTCTACGTGTGTACACGTGAATAATATAAATACAAATATGCAGTAATGCAGTATGGTTAGGTAAGGGCAAGGAAATTGTCAACACTTCATTAAATTATATTTGAATTTATAGGACAAAAATAAACTCCTTACATGTATGTCTCACACTATTATGACGTACATGGTATGTTTTTTTGTACTATAGGAACTACCATACTCAAATAATGCGCTCATATTATAATAGTAGGTACACAATTTATAATTGAGTTGCGCTTAAATTGCATATTTCAAACGCCGTGAAATCGTACAACATATTTTTTAATATAAATATTATTATTACCTATATAATAATGTGTACCTATACATATTTCAGCTTTATATTGATAGTTCAAGATATTGTATACTTTATGATTATTTGATAAAATGTGTAAAATAAAAAATTACTTTTTCATTGAAAAATATAAATTTATTATGATAGGTACATTCAAAATAATCTTGTTTCTATTATTACCATTAAAAACTAATTAAGAACCTTATAATTACAATAAATATATAGTGATTATATTTTAACACAAGAACAATGATACACTGTTATTCAAACATTTTTTTTATATTATTTAAAATTAATATTTCATTAATGCAATAACCTACTTAATAGTTTGATTTTAAAATATGTAATTACATCTAAATAACATTAGTCCATTAGTTACCTAGAGAAATAATTTTAAAAATTGTTCTTGTTTTGGCTATCAAAAAAATGAAAATTTAAAACAGAAAATCAATGATGATAATCATAATGAATACATTTGACGTATCTATATGCATAATGAAAATAATTTATCAAATTTTACTTAAAAATATTATTGATTATTTATTGAAATATCAAATTAGTAAATATCTGAGCACTTACATATTATTATTTATAGAAATATAGATACATAATAAAAAAATAAATACCTATATGTAGTTTTAAAATTAAAAATTATCAGGACACATATTTTTTCAGTTAAATAATCAATGCAAATTTTAATAAAGAATTTTTTTTAATTGGATACTTCTTTCAGTATCAGTTTTTTTTATAAATTATAATAACAGTTGATTTTGTACATACTATTGTATGTATTTTCTAACTATCCATGTGTGTTATAACAGTGGACGCATACGTAATATTTTAAGATATAATTCAGTATATGCTAAACACTATTACAGATTTTGTAGTCATCAACATAAATAGAAAGTAGTTATTTTTTTATGTTAAAACCCATTTTTGTGGAATGTTTCTATTGTGTTTGTGTTATTTGATTAAATGAAACTTGCTCAAAACATATATTAAACAATTATATTTATAAAACTATTAAGAATTCCTTTTAACTGATATATATTCTATTGTATTGAATACTAATTTACCAAAAAGATAAGCTATATACAAAGACAGATTGGGATGTTCGCCACACAGTATACTTTAACAAACTAGCAGACTACTGCTAGTCCATCATTGTATATGACCATAAGACATCTTACCTGATTACGTAATTAATACACATAATGCTCTCAGGTTTTAGACCTTTGTGATCATTTAGTATTGTAGCTTGTGTAATTATCCAAACATAACCACCTCCTTTTGACAAAAATCGGTACTTGTTTGTCTCTACCTGTCCTTTTTCGAATACTGAAAAAATTATTTATTTATAAATTAAATCTTTTGAATATTTCTCTAAATAATTAATGTGCATATCATTATACTCACATATTTTAAAACTTTTTTCAACTGAATTACAATCTTGAGCATGGAAATAATCAAACACAGACTTTGCAACTAATGAATCTGGTTCGTAACCCACATAGTTTGTTATACTAAAAATACATAATAGTAATTGTTATAATTTTTTTTAATAATTAAATATAATTATTCTTAGTTATACATTTTTAATCGGAATTGTTTAAAAAATAATTTTTTCAATCTGTAATAAAATAAAACAATAAGTAAATGTGAGATTTTTTTTTACAAGGTTTGGAGGCTTGACTGAAGGATGCGTCCATTGACACTACTTCAAACTGGTTTTTTTTTTTTGTTATTATTTAGCGAAGTAAATCACAAATCGGAATTGTTTAAAAATATATCTATAAAGGTAGCATATAATATAATATTTTTTTTATTTCATGTTGAATAAAAAGTATTAAAAACTGAATTAAAATATTGAAAATAATTAGAATATATATTTTTTTCAAAATTGATTAGTAATATATTTATCCATATAAATTGTGATTTTTAAAATTAACTTTGAGATTAAGTTATAAAATAATAGAACAAAAAAATTAAAATTTTCAAAATATCAAATAATTATTAAAATGTTGGTCTAATAGGCAACACAAGTTTCAATCTAAAATGATTGAACAAAAACAAATAAAGTTAGTCATAATAAAAATAGAAAATTACATCATCAGGACAGCTCTTGGTGTAAATTACATGTTATAAATGATACAATTAAAAGAGTCATAACCCTCTATTATATACTACACAAGCAATAACAAAAAAAACTTATGATCAAACCAGGTACACTTTATTATTTTAAATAAATTGAGTTGATATTTTAAAGTTGTAGATTTTTTTTAAAATAGCATTAACACTTTCGAGACAAGAGTCTTATACAGTTAATTTTTAATGTACAAATTATATTGAAAAATCATAAATTACAGTATTTGAACTGAAAGTGTTAAAAAGTTTAATACATAAATCCTGATTTATATTTGTCAATGTATTTCAATACGAAAATCCACAAATACAGAATATAGTACTGTTATTTTTATCATTTATTGATGGAATCTTTAGAAAATTGTGTAACTATCTGTTTAATTCCTGCATTTAAAAAATATATTATTTAACTTTTAAAAGTAATTGAATAATAATAAATTATATTACAAATAAGTTTTAATAGTTGGCAAAAATTATTACAAAAACAAAAACAAATTACATGTTAAAAACTATTACAATTATCTGTAAATTTTAATAATAGATAATTAATTTAAATGTGATGATTTAATAATTCAAAACATACCAAAAAAAAATTTGCTGATCAATCAATAAATGTAGTTAGTAAAAATAAAATACTAAAAATATTTTAAGAATTAATATTATATTTTATAAAATGATTGTAGATTACCTTATCATTTTTTTTCTTTCAATGCAATACAAAAAAAAAAAAAAATATTTTTTAGTTTGAAAAAAAATTATTTCTTACAAAACCGTTTTTATTTTACATATTTACAAACACCAAAAAATAAAATTATTTAATTTTGTTCTTTTAAATACATTATAATTAATATAAACATTTTTTTATTTAAATTTTTGAACATGTTTAATAAGTAATAACATTTTATATTTCTAAAACTCAATATTCACAAAATTATATTATTTACTATCTTGAAAAAATAATATTTTATGGCTACAGTTTAAAACAATAATTACATAATTTGAACAATATCTTTTTTTAACTCACACATCATCGGCGATTATATATTTCATATCTAATGAATGCTTGCTGAAAAATATCTTGCTCTGTTTATACAATGGTATCTCAATATTTGCTGGATGTGGTATTGGTTCAGCAATCGACACAAATATATGAGATGGTGAATCAGCAGTTTTTTCAAACTTTAAATCACCATTATTGGATTTACTGTCAGAATCTGTTTTTTTATCTGATTCATAGTCTGAATCAGATTCTCCATCCGATAAAACTGGTGATTTTATTTTAGAACACGTATTGATAACTGAATGTCCCGTAAAATGCAGTACCTAAAAAGTATAAAAATCTTATTATAATTATTATTATCTAAGTAAAGTTGTTACTAAAATGTTATCAAATGTAGTATGTTAAAATATGAAAAGTTTTTGTAAGTATTCTAAAGGGTGTTATAGGTACACAATTGATTGGGATCTTAGAATAATTGCATCCGGGGTGATCACTTAAATAATTACTATAATGTACATTTTATTAAATACAATTCTAATAATCTCAATAAAAATATCAACTAGTCTTATAGAAAAATGTTGTCCACCAGCAACTTATTTAATAGTTTATTACAAATATGAATACTGTAAAGACCAATAATGTAATTTAGAAATAATATTTTTGAAATAATAACATTTACTTAATCCAGAATGAATTGCAAATATATAAAATTATATATGTGTGTGTGTGTGTGTGTGTGTGTGTGTGTGTGTGTGTGTGTGTGTGTGTGTATGTTAGAGTATTGTACATATTATGTCGAAAGGAATTTTAAACTGACTTTTAACCAAATTTAAAAATAATAAATTATTATTGTTTTTGAAAATGTATACTTGAATAGTAACTAGCTTGATAGATCACGTAGATACTTTTTATCAAAAAATTAAGCTTGAAAAACTTTAAACACGTAAAAATCACACAAAGTGTACTTAGTATTTATTATTAGTGCTTTTAGAGGATGATAAGAAAGACACGTTTTTAAAATGTTAAGATTAATCCTCAGATTTTTTCTGGTATGGTTTTAATTTGAATTATTTCTATATCATATGTTACATTGTATCATATGGCACATTGTATAAGAAAAATAATTTTATAAAATAAACGGTGATTTTTTTTTTAACAAATAACAAAATTTAAAAAAAAAAGTTTAAACACAGGGTTATGCAGCAAAATGTGCAGTGAATGTCTAAGTGTGTTTCATAATATAATATCAAGTCAAGTCATGTATGAAGTAGCTAGTAAAATATTGTAAGGCATAAAAATAAAATATAGGTACCAACAATAATAAATGTTCCAGAGTACTATTAAACGAAATTAGCTTATAATAATCGAGGCCACATATAGCAAACTGTAGCGTTAACCATTATTAAGATCTGTCATAAATTATAGGGCAGTGATTTTAGATATAGGTAAACAAAATTTATTCACACAATAAATGCAAAAATATTTTCTAAGTGACTCTGAACATATTATATTATAAAAATAAAAAATGTACGATAAAAATGTGTAAGACACAATATGATATTATTACAAGGTCTATGTAATGTTCGAAAATTAAACGATGTACGGTCGTGGTATACGTGATCTTCTTCCAAAAAGTTTAGAAAGTTGGAAACTTCACGTAGGTATATACGTCATAACAAAATACCTACGTTTAACTAAATTATAGGTTGTGAAAATCAAGTTGTGTTTTATTCTAAGAATACCAATTCAATTTGGATAAAATCATTAATTATTCGCAAGAAAAATTATCTTGACAAACAGGTATTTATTGTGTCGTATTGAGATATAAAAGTGGATGATCTCAAACTATATTGCATTCAGTCATTCGCCGTTAACTATTTATTATACCTACTCAGTAATTATACATTACACATGCGACATGCCACTCAACTAGTCACGCGTTTCAGATTTCTGAGAAACGTTTTAACATGTTAAAACGGGTTGTAACTTGTTTACTTGTAAAATAGACTGCGGGCGCCCAACTGTGTAGTATAATAATATTGTATTGTTTAAAAATGCACTATTAATTTCATAACATCGTGTAAGGAAGTATATAAATTTTTTTCAGGGGGGGCTGCATCAATTTTTTACACAGCGGTGGTTTAGTTTTTGATCGAATACCATAGACCATTAAAAAAAAATTTTAATTTTATTAACATTTCTGGGGGCTGCAACCCCCTCAGCCTCCCCCTGGCTACGCCACTGAAATATCAACGCATTCAATTTTCCTTTATAGAGTATAAACTAGTTATCATATTCGGCATAATACTAAAATACATGCCTTATATGATGCTGATTTCAAATTTACATTGCGCCCTTTATTGGTCAGAGTGCATTTCATTCGAACAAAAAACGACTTTTGTTCACCAATGTCTTTGCTGGTTAAAATGTCTTTCAATTCGGCTTGGTCACAAAGATGGGCAAAATCATAAATTGATTGCCCGATCAAATCAATCTAAAAAAAACATCTGACGTAAATTTGTAGTTAAACACATATTATATTAATATCAAAATAAAATTATAATACAAATAAATAATAAACTTTTTACGTGCAATGATGTCAACGAGTGAACGAGTAAGCCCTATATCCGCAGTTCACCCAGTTCACGCATGTCATATTAAAGTGTACACACTATAGTTTTAAAATCATTAAGTAGAAGGTACCTGTGATAAGCCCAAATAGTTGGAAATATTTTCCGATATGAATATTATATCTCCATCAGCTGTAGTAATTAAGACAATGCCATCCAATGCTTTGTTGCATATCCCATTCATATTTGGAGGGCAATCTTTTTCATCAGATTTTACATCAATATTTGCTGAAAAATTTATAATAAAAACGAATATATATACATTATACATATATTTACTTCATAAATACATAGCTAAAATATTATAACAATAGATTTTTAGAAAAATTGAATAATTTAACTGATTAATAAACAGCTAAAGCCTATTATAGGTCTATTCCAACTCCCAAGGCTAACAGGATTTCTGTCTGACCCCATGCGTTAAAATATTTCACAATAAAGCGTATTTTTGGACAGTTGTTTTCTTAAGGAAATAACTGTAAATCATTCAAACGTTCAAGTTAAATATTAATATCACGTTACAATAATAATTTGATATTACAGTAAAAACACGTTTCGTTTTAAAGACTTAAAATAAAAATCTACAAAATTATTCTAATTTTTACATTTTATTTTATTCAAATAGCCACACACCTAGGTAGATATTAATTACAGATTAAACCCATTAAACTTATGAATAAATGAACCCAAATATAAAAATAATATAAATATGATATATAAAATATATGAAAGCACCTAGGAACTGTATAGTTATACATTATAATTATAAAAGTAAGAAAAGTAAAAATTAAAATAGGTGATACATAATATATATTGAAAGTAAAAACGTACACCTAATCAAATTAGGAATAACCTATTAAATTAAAAATTAATCAATACGAGTATGAAAATCAAGGACTCAAACTGAAACTAATATTGAAAAATAGATGTTCCAAGTTAGGTTTTTTCGACATTCGCTAACGTGGAATATTGGTTTTTAAATATTTAATTTTTAGGTTATGAATGCAAATTATAATAGTTGTAAGTTTTAGTACATCATTAAATCATAATAAATTATTTAGTATTAATATTAGGTACTTAACCTTTAGTCTATGATAAAAATATTGAATTAAATAAAAACGATAAGTCCTACGTTCTGTACTATAAAATGTAATAAAACAAAATAATTGGTGTTATTGAACGTTTTTCGTGTTGTGCTGCATTCGAATTGTATAGTTTTTTGACAGAATACTAAGGCTCAAACCTGTTGCACTGTAGTACAAACCTACAGGGCACCTATTTAATGTGTTTTTTTGGTTTGTGTGAAGTTAAAAGCTTAAAAACTAAAAGACAAAACTAACAAAAAATGATTATAATAAAAATTATATAGCACTATTGTTCTAGTAGCCTAGTAGGTATAATATTGGTTTAAGATTGTTTTAATTTACTATACTATTTTATTTAAATATCTTAGCGACATTGTAAATATAACTTTCCTTCACTTACGATTATTACTATTACATAATATAATATTAAATTATAATTACTTGATGATAAAGCGTCCATAATTTTGAAAGATGCAATAGTCAATCGCATAACAGTTGCTTTATCTAGCTGACTAATAACGGATGCTGGTAAAGGTAATGCTGATCCGAGATCTGTAAATATCTCGGTTTCTTTACTACGTCTAGATCGAGCCGCATCTCTTGATTTTTCTTTTCGTCTCTCGGAATTTCTGGAAAACGTAGACATTGTATTAAGCTATTCGCTAGAAATTTATATTAGTAGTCGACTTAACAATCAAACTGAGGAAAAATTTAAAACGATAAAAAAAATTACAATTATCTTTTATCACATAATATTGTAGGTCCATATGAGACGTACCTAAATAGATGTATCTACACAGTACACAATGTCACCTATTGTGTATTGTGTAAAATATTTTTATAGATACTATTCATTATACTAATGTCATAATTTTAGTTGAAAAAATTAGTATTACACTATTAATATTTAGAGGATGTATTTGTTATTAACTAATTTTTATTTTACATTCTGAGCGGAACAGTGAATGTATTGTTTTACAACTTTTTTTTTGTCTGAAAACGCTTTTTATACCAGAAAAAATTGTTCAATGGTGAGGGTAATTTCTGGTAGCAAATTAGTTCTAGATAGTAAAGAAACATGTTAAAGAAGTAAAAAGTAGAAAATGCCCAGAATTTTTCAATTACCTTATGTATCAAGTACCTAATGCAAAAAAACAATTACGGAAATTTTAGTTGTTATAAAATCACAATTCTAAAAATATTGAAAAACAGAGGTATGCACAATTATTTTATTTTAATTAAACATTTATTGATCGTAGGATCTTAAAACTATTCGTCATCAAATATATTATTATTTTCTATATACACTGAGATTTTCAAAATATTTAAACTAATTTCAAAAATTCAAACTATTAGTACTACTAATCTACGTTAATAACAGCTAAATATTTTATTAATATACAAAGTAATTTCATGTTAATAAGTATGCTACTTATTACTTATATTCAATTTTTTTAAAGCAAAAATAAGTTAAACATACATTTGATAATGAGAGAACTAACATAAAAATAAATGACTTATAGCCATGCCATATAAATATAAATACCTAATATAAAATATCCTTAGAAATATAAGCTGACATACGTATAGGATGGATTTTCGTATAGATACAATGATTTACATAATTGAATTCAAATCCATTGCGGTAACCTACCCAACAATGTACACTCGGAATCAACTACATCCAAAGCGACTTTTTATAGATACCTTCAACAAGTACCTGCTTATTGGTTTTAATGGAAAATAATATACCTACCATCAAAACATATTATATAACAAGTCACAGCTTTAGATATCACGTGATCATTTGTATATACATTATAAGCTTATTAGTTATTAATTATAATACAACAATACATTGTATTAATTTACCATGTAAACATGTTGTTTTATGATGTATTCAAAACAATAAATAAAATTTAAAAAAAAAAACAGTTGAATGATAATGACCTATACTTATAACCTACCATCTCCCCCAAAAGGCAAATCGCATTGGAATATTTGAAGGTTGCTGTTACGTTGAAAGTAAGTCGAAGGAGATACCTACAAAAATATATTGTGATGGTAAAAACGTATTTAAAAACAGATGTATACAGCCTGTTAATAATTGTATATATATTTTTATACATCCACGACAGTATTACTATTGAACTCGTTGTTTGCTTGTAATTTTTGAGCGGACTTGGTACATTTTCAATAGATACGTATTTACAACTGCAATTTGCAGCAGTATTATAATATTTAAGTAAAATCTATAGATAACATACAAAATATTGAAAAAGATTAAAATAATTTCAACAATATTCTTACTTTCATAAAAAAATTAGTACATTTTTCATGAAGGTAAATTAAAGTTATAACTATTAGGTCTTAGATATATTTACTCATATTTACTATATATTAATATTATGCTATATATTTCACTTCGATGTATAATAATTGACTAAGACGATAAATCCAACTTAACGTAACCTTTTCTATAAATAAATAAAGTATAAGATAATTTATTTAGTTACTCAAAGACGAGTTACTCATCCAAGAGTCGATATGCCATAACGTATAATATACGAATTATAATTTATAAGTAATAACACGTACCAACCTATATACCTAAGCACTAAATTTTTAGTCAACAAATATCAAAATAAAACTTAGGACTTATGAGTAGAAGATTTATTATTATAGAAGAATTAAACATTCAAAATTCTAAAATTATCTTACTGAGTTAAATCAATCAGAGTTCTTATAAGGAATTTAGCAATAACAATGTAATTAATTCTAAATAGTCTAAATAGTAAATTAAAAATTTTCATTTGTAAGATGGAACATAGGTATAATCTATAAAAGCAAATAGCAATAAATATTTATAAACAAATAATAAATTACATTATGCTATTAACTAATCTCGATAATGGTAAAACATTATACAATATACCTTATTATAATATTTTCGCTTCATTATTATATACTATATAGACACATTAGATTATAAATATTAATTCACAAAATCTAGGTATATCTATGTAAATGGTTCATAGTGAGCTAATAGAACAAAATAACTATATTCAATAGTATTTGTTACTAAAAAATCATTGTAAATTTCCAAAATATAGGTCACAAACTCATAACCAAACATCGAAGTATCAACTCTCAACAAAGACAATATATTATGTCAAGAGTGGGTTATTCTATAGACAATTTATCTGTATTCATAGTTTAAAAATACTTACAACAAAATCGAGAATAAAATTTAACAGGTTAGTGATAAATAATTAACTATATAATCGTTATTCGTTATGAAATTAAGAAAACGTAATCAAGGAATATATCCTTAACATATAGTTTTCATTATATCCGCATTCAAGTTCAACACAGAAAAATCATTTATCTGTAATCATAATCTATATGAATCGCATAGATAAATCGTTATCTAAATAATTAAATAAGTATATATCAATAACTATAATATAGCAACAATAAAAGTTGGAATTAAATTTTTTACAATATGCATATTAGTTAACACATACTTTTATATTATCTTTCCAATGTCGATTACAATAAATGTTTAGATTCGAATATTAAATTTATACTTAATAATTATTTTTGTTTTAATTTTTCACTTTTTATTAGTTTGTTAAGTTACAACACCCACATATTGCAATAAATTAAATTCGAGATTTATTCACACAAGACTATGTACCTATACTTAATGATTTTATTAAAACTGGCAAGCATTGTCGTAAGTACTGATATTAATTATTAATAATTTAATATTGTTTCGGTCTGCACGTGCTCATTGAAGTATGTAGATACAATTTTATCACGCACGTAATAGTTTACTTGTGAATATGAATAGTTAATAAGACTTTACGAGGCGTTGACTTAATGAGAATAGAATGTATGACATAAAACCCAGCATTCAATAAATGATAAAAGAATCATTTTTTTCAAAAAGTTCGAAGAAAGCTCCAATAAATACTGAAGGTGCGTTACCTAAAAATAACCGATATATTTTATTTTATTATACCAGTGATTTTTTAAGCATGCTCACAACCATTTTTTCTTTTAATAGTTATTTTTTCAAAATTTGGATTTTTAGAATTTTAAAGTGTGCCTAAGCTCCATATTTTCACATTTCTGAAATTTTTTGAACTAATTATGGAGTATCCTGTAGCGATACAAACTTCTGTTTTTCTAATGAGAACCCCCTCTTCTATATTTTTTCTCTATATTATTTAGAGACTGATTTTATTGATAATTTTTATGAAGTACCCAAATCAAAATTCTAATGAGTAGTTTATGAGTTATTATAATGTTTATACCATAAGGATAATATGTAAAAATGATTTTACAAAAATATAAAATATATGTAATATCAGTTGTAGTATTTATTATACTTTGATTATGTTTACTCATTATTTATATTAATAGATCAATAATAACTAGTAGTTACTGACATTTTAACTATGTAAACCTCCATATCTACTTAGCCCATTACCATAAGCATAATATCCTTGGTACACAAATTTATATAACTCAAAAACTAGTCACTTCAAATTTAAATTTGGATACATAAATTTGAATACATAATTTAAAATGAAAATGGGAGTTCCTAGTCAAAAAAACAGAAGTTTTTATTATTGGTGGATCTTCCATAAGTGGAACAAGTACCTATATAAAAAAAAAATTTCAAGTGCGTTCAAAAATTCCAAAAATCTAAACTTGAATATATGCCTAATTTAAGCATAAAAATAAGGATAGCATGCTTAAAATATCCCCCTGTGTAGAATTTATATAGAACTTATTGAACTTTCAATAGATTTTAAAGACATTTAGTTATTTTTTGCTAATCAAATTGAACGGGTATACACCAAGGTATAGTATAATAAAGACACACCCTGGAAACCTTACAAAGTTACAAATGTATAATCGTTACACGAAAATTAATAAGAATATAACGCACTATTAACAACAAAAATTACGTATGAAAAAAGAATGTAAATACTGCTGTTTAACTACTAATGTTACTGTTGTTGAGACATTTATCCAAATACTCATGTGTTCACAAATATAAATCATAATAAGCAAATACACGAGACACACTGGAAAGCATACAAACGCATTAATAAGTAGATTTCTATAATACGATTCATCTATATAAATAGAGAAAATTGTATGTTATAAGTATAGAGTCCGGATATTTATATTAAAAATAATGGGAAAGGAAATATGATGTTAATATTCTCCAAAACAAAACTGCAAACATTCTCCTAATAATTTCTTAAAAATAAAAATAAATTGTGTTTTATGCAAATCAATGAACTTAAAAAAAATGGTTTACTCTGCTATTGTTTAAAACAAAATTACACAAAAAAGAGTTCCAATTTTATTTTAAATTAAAAATAAAAATTTTGTTATTAAAACACATGTTTAAATATGAACACAATTCATTGTAATCTAAAAGAAAAATATATTAGTTTGGCTAAATGCACTTGTATAAATCATTTAAAAAATGCATAAGTATACGATTGCATTAGTGTCCATTATTCCCGACATTTTTTAGAGGGAGACACTCAGTACACAACTTACCACTAATAAACACCTTACAGAAAACTAGTACAATTTGCTT